CAAACCCTATACTTTCGGGATTAGAGTTTAACCTAAATAAATGTTATTTGGTGTTTGTGTTAAAGTGAATATGATTAGATCATGTTTATTGCAATACGGTTATTCATTTAAGACAGAGAATAATTGTTATTCTATTTACATGAATAAAACCTTCTATGGTCATACACACAATGTTGATGGTTTATTGAATCTTGATCGTAGTAATACACATATCCATAATATTGATGCCAAAAGATGCAAAGTTGATAATGATAGTGCAACATACTTGTGGGACTGCCGTTTAGGTCATATTGGTGTAAAGCACATGAAGAAACTCCATGATGATGGGCTTTTGGAATCACTTGATTATGAATAATTTTATACTTACGAACCGTGCCTTATGGGAAAGATGACTAAAACTCTGTTCTCCAGAATAATGGAATGAGCTAATGACTTACTGGAAATAATACATACCGATGTATGTGGTCTAATGAGTGTTGATGCTCGTGGCGGGTATCATTATTTTCTGACCTTCACAGATGATTTGAGAAGATATGGGTATATCTGCTTGATGAAACATAAGTCTGAAACATTTGAAAAGTTCAAAGAATTTCAGAGTGAAGTGAAGAATCATCGTAACAAGAAAATAAAGTTTCTACGATCTAATCGCAGAGGCGAATATTTGAGTTACGAGTTTGGACTTCATTAAAACAATATGGAATAGTTTTACAGCTCATGCCACCTGGAACACCACAGCGTAATGGTGTGTCCGAACATCGCAACCGTACTTTATTAGATATGGTGCGATCTATGATGTCTCTTACCAATTTACCACTATTGTTTTGGGGTTATGCATTAGAGACAGCTGCATTCACTTTAAATAGGGTACCGTCAAAACCCGTTGATACGACACCATATGAACTGTGGTTTGGCAATAAACCTAATTTGTCGTTTCTTAAAGTTTGGGGATGCGATGCTTATGTCAAAAGGCTTCAGCCTGATAAGCTCGAACCCAAATCAGAGAAGTGCGTCTTCATAGGATACCCTAAGGAAACAATTGGGTACACCTTATACCACAGATCCAAAGGCAAGATCTTTGTTGCCAAGAATGGAACCTTTCTAGAGAAGGAGTTTCTCTTGAAAGAAGTGAGTGGGAGAAAAGTAGAACTTGATGAGGTAATTGTACCTTCTCTCAATCTGGAAAGTAGCTCATCCGAGAAATCCATTCCCGTGATGCCTACACCAACTAGAGAGGAAGCAAATGATGATGATCATGAAAACTTCAGATCAAGTTACTACCGAACCTCGTAGGTCAACCAGAACACGATCGACACCAAAGTGGTATGGTAATGTTGTTCTGGAAGTCATGTTACTGGACCATGGCGAACCTACGAACTATGAAGAAGCTATGATGAGCCCAGATTCTGATAAATGGTTTGAGGTCATGAAATTTAAGATATGATCCATATATGAGAACAAAGTGTGGACTTTGGTGGATTTGCCTGATGATCGGCAAACCATAGAAAATAAATGGATCTTCAAGAAGAAGACTTATGCTGACGGTAATGTTACTGTCTACAAAGCTCGACTTGTTGCGAAAGGTTTTCAATAAGTTCAAGGAGTTGACTACGATGAGACTCTCTCACCCGTAGCGATGCTTAAGTCTGTCCGAATCATGTTAGCAATTGCTGAATTTTATGATTATGAAATTTGGCAGATGGATGTCAAAGCTGCATTCCTGAATGGATTTCTGGAAAGAAGAGTTGTATATGATGCAACCAGAAGGTTTTGTCGATCCAAAGGGTGCTAACGAAGTGTGCAAGCTCCAGGGATCCATTTATGGACTGGCGCAAGCCTCTCGGAGTTGGAATGAACATTTTGATAGTGTGATCAAAGCATATGGTTTTATACAGACTTTTGGAGAAGCTTGTATTTACAAGAAAGTGAGTGGGAGCTTTGTAGCATTTCTAATATTATATGTGGATGACATATTGTTGATCAAGAATGATATAGAATTTCTGGATAGCATAAAAGGATACTTGAATAAGAGTTTTTCAATGATAGACCTCGGTGAAGCTGCTTACATATTGGGCATCAAGATCTATAGAGATAGATCAAGACACTCAATTGGACTTTCACAAAGCACATACCTTGACAAGATTTTGAAAGAGTTCAAAATGAATCAGTCAAAGAAGGAGTTCTTGTCTGTATTACAAGGTGTAAAATTGAGTAAGACTCAAAGCCTGACCACGACAGAAGATAGAAAGAGGATGAAAGTCATTCCCTATGCCTCAGTCATAGGTTCTATAAAGTATGCCATGCTATGTACCAGACCAATTGTGTGCCTTGCTATAAGTTTGGCAAGGGAGTACGATAGTGATCCAGGAGTGGATCACTGTATAGCGGTCAAAGTTATCTTAGTTACCTAAGAGGACTAAGGAAATATTTCTCGGTTATGGAAGTGATAAAGAGTTCGTCGTAAAGAGTTATGTCGATGCAAGATTTTACACCGATCCAGATGACTCTAAGTCTCAATCTAGATACATATTGAAAGTGGGAGCTATTAGCTAGAGTAGTTCCATGCAGTGCATTGTAAACATAGAGTATTTGCAAAATACATACGGCTCTGAATGTGACAGACCGGTTGACTAAACTTCTCTCACGAGCAAAACATGATCACACCTTAGTACTCTTTGGGTGTTAATCACACAGCGATGTGAACTAGATTATTGACTCTAGTAACCCCTTTGGTTATTAGTCACATGGCAATGTGAACTATGGGTGTTAATCACATACATATATGAACTATTGATGTTAAATCACATGGCGATGTGAACTAGATTATTAACCCGTAGGGTCCGCATGCTTAACGTTCGATGACGATTTGTATTATGAGTTATGTGATTTGATGACCGAAGTTTGTTCGGAGTCCCGAATGAGATCACGGACGTGACGAGGAGTCTCAAAATGGTCGAGAGGTAAAGATTCATATATTGGAAGGCTATATTCGGACATCGGAAAGGTTCTGAGTGATTCAAGTATTTTTCGGAGTACTGGGGAGTTACGAGAATTCAACGGGAGAAGTAATGGGCCTTATTGGGCCATTCGAGAAAGGAGGAGGCAGACCAAAAGGGAGGTGGCGCCCCCCATGGGTCCGAATCGGACTAGGGGGCCCCCTTGCCCTTTCCTACTCCCTCTCTCTTTCCCTCTTTTCCTTCTCTCCTACTCCGAAAAGGAAAGAGATTCCTACTAGGACTTGGAAGTCCTAGTAGGAGTCCATACTCTTGGCGCGCCCCTAGGGGGCCGGCCTCTCTCCCTCCCTCCTTTATATACGGGGGCAGGGGGCACCCTAGAACACACAAGTTTCTCTTAACCGTGTGCGGTGTCCCCCTCCACAGTTACGCACCTCGATAATACCATCATAGTGCTTAGGCGAAGCCCTGCGCCGGTAACATCATCATCACCGTCGCCACGCCGTCGTGCTTACGGAACTCACCCTCGCCCTCAACTGGATCAAGAACATTAGGGACGTCATCGAGCTGAACGTGTGCTGAACGCGGAGGTGCCGTACGTTCGGTACTTGATCGGTTGGATTGTGAAGAAGTTCTACTACGTCAACCGCGTTATTGAAACGGTTCCGCTTTCGGTCTATGAGCATACGTGGACACACTCTCCCCTCTCGTTGCTATGCATCTCCTAGATAGATCTTGTGTGATCATAGGATTTTTTTTGAAATTACTGTGTTCCCCAACATGCAGCACCATCACATCGATGAGTGGTGCCCAAGGGAGGACGGGGTGGCGAGACGCAGGTGAGAGTGTCGACGATGCAGGAGGGGTGCATGTCGGTCCAACAGTCCAGATTAAAGTGACCTGGGCCTGGCATGACGCCAATCCTCGGAGAACCAGCTCGCCGTGAGAACCTGTGATGTACCCAAGATTGCATAATCTGATGATCTGGCCTAGGGCAAAGTTCTCGATTTGGCCGAGGTGGCCAATCGAGTCAGTGACGAATGTGGCAGTGCCGAAGACGAACATTTGACCCGGCGCGTCGATTACACCGATGCCGATTGGAGATCCCATCCGAGCTCTATGTTCACCAAGCGGGACTTGCATGGGCCACCACTGTCGAAGATGATTCCGGCGGATCCTTCGATAGGAAATCCTGGCAAGGTGACTAGATCAGAGGGAAACCAAGGAGGCGAGTTTACCTAGTTTTAGGCCCTCCGATTGAGGTAAAACCCTACTCTTGCTCTACGTATATTGCGATTGAAGTGTACAAAGTACATGTATAAGCCAAGAGATTATAATGTATCTATCGACTGGCTCGACCCCGACTTAAGTAACATATCGGGGTCCCTAGGATTACACAACTAGTCGGCTACGTTGGTGGAGGGGAGTCCTCCACGGCTCCGGCTTCCTTGTCTTGGATGAGAAGGCCTCCAAGTCTTTTCTTACGAGGCCCACGGGTCGGTCTGATGACCTAAGGCGAAACCAACCTAGGGGTCTTCGGGCCGGCCTACTTGGTCCGACAACTGATAAGGTGAGGCACCCTTGGATCATAACACCATCATCACAAGAGCATGTGAGCTCGGAACCATAATGACACCTTCATTATTCTTCTATTCTTTGGGCCTAGGACCCTAGGTAGTCGATGGCTATTCACACCTATGTCTTAACACCAAAGTTCAAATCCAAGTTTTATTTTTGTATTAAAGAATCCCAATTTAACATTAAAAGTATAGCCATTGACCTTTCAGAAAAAATCAACCTGTAAGGAATATGTAATTTTTTGCAATTGAACAGGTCATCGAGGAAAAGGAACACAGCTCAAAGAAAAAGAAAAAGGAACAGAGGAGAAACAAAACACGGAGCAAGAACCTTTCCAAGAAAACTCAGAGCAAAGCATCTACGCGTGGAGCGCGTGGAGCCCACGCACCAAACGTCACCGCCAGCGCTCCTTCCTCCGTTCCCCAATTCCCCTGGAGGCGCGCCGCATATCAGCGGCGACATTGGGCGGCGATGGCCTCGGTTAGGCCCCCTCTCCGCCGCCTCGCGCTACTGCTTAACAGCCGCATCCGCGCCAACAACCGCTTCCTCGCCTCCGCCTCCACCTCCACCTCCACGTCCTCCTACCCCACCGCCGCGGCAGCCGGCGCCACCACCACTGAGACGCCGGCGCCGGAGGGGCCGGAGGTCGTCAGCATGACGGATAACTGCGTCCGTGTAGGTGTCTCGCAACCTCTTTATTTCAGTAACTACTCTCTGCTTTGCTGCCTCAAGGGACAATTTTTTCATAAATTTGGGGATATATTTTAGGATCTTATACGGATCGATATTCATTTTATAAGATTTAACTGTGGAGTTTGTCTATATTTTTCCTTCAGTTGTATAATGACTCTGTAGAAATTTAGGGGTTTAAACTCCGAGGTTATCATTCTGGGAGGATCTCTGAGTTCTTAACTTCTAATTTGGTATGAAGACTGCAGAGTTCTATGTATGTTTGGTAATACAGATCATATACTGTTCTTCGCTCACAAAATTGTTGTGCTATTATAAGGAAAATGTGTCACTTACTCACCTCCGATACTTATTATGTTCTGTTTTTTACTTCTTCAGTTAGTTTAGCACGTACAGTGTCTGATCATGTAATTTGTTTGCTGCAGAGGCTCAAAGAGTTACATACTAAACAACCATCTGCTAAGGGCAACATGTTGCGCTTGAGCGTTGAAGCTGGTGGTTGTTCTGGATTCCAGTACACCTTCTCACTGGATAGCAAGGAAAATGCTGATGATAGGTTGGTGGTCATGCTTCAGATTGAGGTTTCACGATCTTTGTTTGCAACACCATTTTTAGTGGGACATGCTCCGAAATGTTTTTGTGGAAGCAATGGAGCATCAACGTCTACCACCATTGCCTGATCAGGGTACAGTTGCATGTCTCACATGCTGTCGATTTAACTGTAGGGTCTTCGAGAAGAATGGCGTTAAGTTGGTTGTCGACAATGTCTCATATGACTTTGTGAAAGGTTCAACAGTCGATTATGTAGAGGAATTGATAAGCTCAGCATTTGTGGTTAGTTTTGAATGGCTCTATTGCTCAATACCTGAACTTGGGCACTATTTTAGATTACCCAATTGTAAACCTACTGTTTTATGCTTAGGAATGTTCTCTGATTTCTGTTTGTGCGATGTGCAGGTTTCAACCAATCCAAGTGCTGTTGGAGGCTGCAGCTGCAAGAGTTCCTTCATGGTTAAATAATTCGAACATTAGTAACTTTAAGAGGTAGCCTGACAGAACTTTATGTTGCATTTTTTTGAATTACTACAATACTTCGATACTTCCAAATAAGTCCCTGTTATTGCTACTATCTTAGGAATCTTATGTAACCTACTGCTTTACTAGAATGTTTTTGTTATGTGGATGCATACCCATTGGTGGCGTGGGCCTAGCCTGCCGGATTCTGCACAGCCATCTTAATGCTTGGTGCCCAAGTCTTGGACTTCCATAGATATCTTAGACATAAATTATGGTTCTGTTTCCAAGTTTGTTACGTGAGCTGGCTATAGAATGCCAGACAGATATTATGGTGGGAGGAGAAATCGATAAAGAACCCCCCTCCTCTCTCTCCTACTCATGTTACCGTTAACAAACCCCAGTGGCATTGCTGCCTGCTGGGCAACACTTCACTGGCCTTGAAGATCTTCTTGCAATGATGTTAGCATCATGGCGACAGGGTACCCCGGGCCCGTTGTAATGGGCCGAGCTCGGCGCCACAAAGATCCAGCAGTACACCATTGTCAAGTCACATCATCGACAACGTCAAGGCCAAGGAGAAAAAGAACTAAGGACCAGTACTTAGGACTCCCCCGAGCATGGTTCCCCGACCAGCTTGGTCAAGGCGTCGCCCCCGAGCATGATGATTTCAGCAATGGCAGCCAAACATAAGGAGCCAGGAGAAGTGCGTGGGGCCTGCCCCTGAGTAGAACTTTGCTCCTCGTGGGCCCTCTTGGGGGTCTACCTGATGGCAAAACATTTAATGCAAGGCCTGCGCAACTCTCTTAGAGTTCCAAGGCCCGATCGACGCATTAAATCCAGGCCTGCATACCTACGGCGATCTATGCTTCGTAGATACTCATCATGAGTCTACAGTACGACGGTTCCTCTCCTCCCAAGACGATAGTGCCTGCCTCTTATCAGAGATGTGACAGGCGCCCCACCTTTTTGACTTTGGCACCACCACGGAGGCGTTCCTACATCAGCCTTGTGCCACTGCTCTATGGGCCCTATTGAGCTGTCGATGGCAGGATGGACGCATTTCTCGAGGAACTGACTCGGCTTGTTGTCTACTACCTCACGACCGTTTGATGGGCCCATTTGGGGCTTGCAGTTTGTAACCCCAAAGGTTCAACGCATGAACTTAATTGTAAAGGCCATTGTGGTACCCCCATGCCTATGTAAGGGGAGAACCGAGGCCATAGCAAATGACCGACTCTTGTTAGGTGATCTCTCTCTACGAACTTAACAGAAGACCAAAGCTAGGAGAAGAACAAAAGAACTATCCCGAGCACTAGAAGTGCCCCGAGCAGTTGCTTGTAACCACTCATATAAGCTGATCAAGAGCTAGAGCAGGACGTAGGGACATCTTGCGGTGGCTTGAACCTGGGTAAGAAACCCGTGTCTTTGAGCGTAAAGTCCACTGAAGTGTTTTAGTCCTTAGCAAAACAAACAAGGGGTCTAGCGTTAAACCTCGACATCGACGATCACAAGTCAACATCTGGCATGCTAGGTAGGAGGCTAAGGCTTCGGCTTCGAACCGGTTGCCTTAGCCATGCCCTTGCACGAATTGTGGTTGCGACGACAGTAACATCGTTCGTCATCGGTGCGTGCGGATCCTCACAGCATGGATGACCACACTGTGCAAGTGAACGATCCAGGCGACCGTGCTGTGGACTGTCCGAATTCTTCAACCCCCTCCCGTTTTGGTGGAGGATGAATCTCCCATGGGCCCTTTGCTTTGGGGGGTTGCTGGACATCGCCTGCTGCTAGTCGATGGTTAGAAGCGCCTGCGTCTCGAAGGGACGCGACCCTTCTCGCTCGATCCCTTTGATGGCCTCGTTGCCATCACAGCCGCCGAGTCCGCTGCAAGGCAATGCAAAGAAGCATCGTTTTGCGTCCCATCTCACCATCACCGCTTTCATGCTTGTTGATGATCTCCATGATGTCCTTGACCACAAGAGAAAGGCAAATGCCCCAAAGAAGGCACTAGCGAGTGATGTCCCGCATCCCTCTTTGACGAGCATGGCCTCACGAATGGGTGGGAGGTTCGAGCCCCATCGACAACCGATACCAAGCACGCCGCAAAGGACATCTCGGTGCACGCAACAGGTGCCACGATTGGGACGAGCGTACTACCCACCGTGACCGAGACAACAGGCTCTTAGGAGTGGAAGACCGTGGCATGCATCCGTGGGGATGCTTCCGCACCCGCTTCACGCCGCCGGCTCAAGTTGCTAGCGTGGTAAGTGAACGCGGTGCTCCCAAGCATCGGCGCACCCTGACCACTCAAGTGGTCGAACACCCCAATCATGTTCAGCCATGAAAGCCACCCCAGGGTCTTGTCGGTGATCTCCCCGACAAACATGCTGGTGGACGGAGGCATGGGCCTCAACATCTTTCCCTCGACGTCTTCGATAAGATGCAAGTGCCCCTAGGGCGCCTGCGAGCGATGTAGGCGTTTACAGTGCCACTCGGGCAGGTGTCCTTGATGGTCGCCTTCGGTACCAGAGGCACTACCGGAAGGAAAGCATCATTTTTGACATCACCAAACTTGACCTCCGTCAAGCACCCGAGCACTAAGATTTCATCTGAGCAAGGTGCATAGACTAAAAAAAGCTCGGTTCGAGGTGATACACCTTGAGTGGCTCGCCTACCCCGTCGTTGTCCCGAAGGCTAACGACAAGCTAAGGATGTGCGTTGACTTCACCGACCTTAACAAAGCATGTCCCAAGGATTCCTATGCACGGCATAGATCAGATCATGGATTCCGCAGTGGGATGTGATCTCTTGTGCTTCCTAGATGGATATTCTGGTTACCACAAGATTCACATGGCTAAAGAGGATGAGGAAAAACAACATTCATCACCCCTGTTCGAATGTTCTGTTACATCTCCATGCCTTTTGGCTTGAAAAACACGGGCCCCCCATATCAACGGGCCATGCTCATCGCACTGGAGTGCCAGATAGGTTGCAACATCAACGACCTCTTCGTGAAGACCAAAGATCAAGCCACACTCCTTGCGATCTTGCAGAAACCTTTGACAACCTTCGCCGCATGTGCATGAAGCTTAACCCCGAGAATTATGTTTTTGTGGTGCGTGCCTTCGACGAAGCTCCCGGGCTTCCTTGTCTCAAGCAGGGGCACAGAAGCCAGCTCTGAGAAGATCAACGCCATTAGCCAGATGCGCCCAGTCGCCCAGTGACGCACCTCAAGGACATGCAATGCCTCTCATGCTGCATGTCAGCCTTGGGGAGATTCATCTCCAAGCTCGAGGAGCGAGGCCTCCCCCTATTCAAGCTCCTCAAGAAGTCGGGTCCATTCAAGTGGACCCTAGAGGCCGAACAAGCACTCCAAGGCGTCAAGCAGTCCCTCACCTCTCCGCCGATCCTGGTGGCACCAAGACCCGAAGAGCCATTGCTGCTATATACATCATGGCCACTCCCGAAGCCGTGAGCATATTCTTGGTGGCGAAACGGGAGGAAACGTCGGAGCTTGAGCTCAGGCCCGAGCCCCCGGCCGCTCATGCGTCAAATCAAGCTGCTGGGTCCAAGCTCCCAGCACCTTCTGAGAAGATGGCCGACCCCGAGCTGGCAACCGAGCCCGAGCTCCCGCCCAGCCCCGAGCTGGCAGGCAAGCCCAGGCTCTTGTTTGGCCTTGAGCTGGTCGAGGAGCCTGGGCGGGCTCCCACGAATCAAGGACGTCTCGTACAACGACCAATCTACTTCATGAATGAAGTCCTGCGTGATGCCAAATCATGGTACCCGCAGGTCCAGAAGCTACTCTATGCAGTTTTGGTCTCATCAAGGAAGCTGACACTACTTCCAAGCCCACAAGGTGTCCGTCGTCAGTTCCTTCCCGCTTGATCGCATCCTTCACAACCATGCGGCCATTGGTCGCGGCGTCAAGTTGTGAAGTGGGTGATTGAGCTTGGGGAGTTTGATCTCTGCTTGTCAGCTCCCACTCTATCAAGTCGCACCCTAGTTGACTTTATCACAAAAATGACACCAGTGCCCGAAGACAAGGAGGAGGAAGTGTCCTTAACTCCCAGATCGTCGGTCTTCCCGAACACTGGACGATGCCCTTCGACGGATCCTTCACGCTCCAAGGCCTGGGGGCTGGAGTGGTTCTCACCTCCCCGACGGACGAACAACTCCAGTACGTTCTGCAGCTCCTTTTCAAAGGTGCCATGAACAACATGGGCGGATATGAGGGGCTGCTCGCAGGCCTCGGAGCCGCAGCCTCCCTCGGAATTCGATGCCTACTCATCAAGGGTGACTCCCAGTTCGTCATCAATCAAGTGTCGAAGGGCCATCAATGCTTGGACTCACAAATGGCAGCATAACTGGCTCAGGTCAGGAAGTTGGAGCGACACTTCGACGGCTTGCAGCTACAACACGTGCCGTGACAACGAGCTCGCCGACCATCTATCACGATTGGCCTCCCGTCGGGAGCTGGTCCCTGTCAGAACCTTTGAAGAAAGGCTCTCTCGACCATCACCAGGTGGCAGGGCCGAGGGCTTATGTCAGCATCACGGGGGACAGGTACCCCGGGCCTGCTGTAATGGGCCGAGCTTGGCGCCACAAAGATCCAGCAGTGCACCATTGTCAAGTCGCATCATCGACAACGTCAAGGCCAAGGAGTAAAAGCACCAAGGACTAGTACTCTGGACTCCCCCAGCATGGTTCCCCGACTAGCTTGGGCAAGGCGTCGCCCCCGAGCATGATGATTTCAGCAACGGCAGCCAAATATAAGGAGCCAGGGGAAGTGCGTGGGGCCGCCGCCGAGCACCTTCAACTCCCCCGAGCAGCAGCTCTGATCCTGGTGGGCCCTCCTGGGGTGTACCGGCTGGCAAGGCATTTAATGCAAGGCCTGCGCAACTCTACTCTCTTAGAGTTGGAAGGGCCGACCGACGAATTAAATCCAGGCCTGCATTCCTACGGCGATCTACGCTTCGTAGATACGCATCATGAGTCTACAGCATGACGGTTTGTCTTGTCCCAAGACGGCACCTGACGCTTATCAGAGATGTGACAGGTGCCCCACCTTTTTGACTTTAGCACCAGCACGGGCGACGTATCTACATTAGCCTTGTGCCACTGCCTTATGGGCCCCAATGAGCTGTAGATGACAGGATGGATGCGTTTCTCGAGGAACCGACTTGGCCTGTCGTCCACTACGCCACAACCGTCTGGCGGTCTCGCATGGAGCGTGCAGTTTGTACCCCGTTCAACATATCAACTTAATTGTAAATGCCATTGTGGTACTCCCCAGGCCTATATAAGGGAGGACCGTGGCCAAATCAAAGGATCAGTTCTTGGTAGGTGATCTCTCTCTACGAACTTAACAGAAGACCAAAGCTAGGAGAAGAACAGTAGAACTATCCTGAGCACTAGAACTGCCCCTAGCAGTAGCTTCTAACCACTCATATAAGCTCGTCAAGAGCTAGAGCAGGACATAAGGTAATACACCTCGCGGTGGCCTGGACCTGGGTAAAAAAGACGTGTCTCTGACATGAAGTTTATTGAAGTGTTTTAGCCCCTAGCCGAACAAAAAAGGGGTTTGCCCTTAATCCCCGGTATCGACGATCACACGTCAACAAACGACTTCTCCCTAAGCTCCTGGGGGTCATATGAACTTGGTATCAGAGACCATGATCTGTTCTGATGATGTTGAGTATTCTCTTCTAATTGTACTTCAAGTCCGGTTGCATTAGAATTATATACCTAGCACAGTCTTTTTCAACATACTGTGGCGTATTGAATCTTTTTGCAATACAGCATTCTTGTATAATGAACTGATTACAACTAGAACGGCAGCCATATGTTAGCTGAACACAGCTTCTTTGTGATTCGAGATACACTTGTAGAAGATAACCTACATAGCAATGAATGAGATAACCTACGAATATACTCATACAGGTTAAAATTTTGTACAATTCACTGGATACAAAAATTTCTACTTACAAAGGCCCAATTCAATATATAAACTTTAAGCTGTCCAGTTTTTTTCTGATCTGGTATTCACGTGCCCGTGTATGTTGTTATGGACAAAAGTTCCATGAAAGCCATAGGGCACTCTTTGTGGCAATGTTATTTTTGCAACAGGAGCACCTTCAAATTTTTGGGTATCAATAATGTGCACCTGCAACATAAGACATAAAGCTTCAAAATTGGACTCGTGTTTCATATGAAAATTGGGGTGTGTGTATGTAATGTGTTACAATGAAAACTTGCCTGTGACGTATTTGTTCTTTCATTATGTACAAAAGAAATTATCCATCCATCATCTTCATGTGAGCCACCAACTCTTGGAACAAATGATGCTCCAGAGCAGAACTCATCTTCACTAAGCCGATGAATTTCCATCTTTATTAGATCTTCCGCCGATGTCTGGTGTACAGCTTGAATTTGAGTGAGGAAATCTTGGTTAAATAGTAGCTGAACTGATGCACGAAGCTGATTTATACATACCTCTGTATTCTCTCTCTCCTCAAGGCATAGTTTTGCAAAGCCCCCATACTTTGGGAGTACTGTAAGATATAACGAAAAACCGAGTCAAGCTGTGATACATAGTACTGTAAACGCGGAAATAGACGTAGGCGCCCAATGTACATGCTCGTAATATAGACAGTGTTGTTTGATTTTAGCAATACCTTTTTCACTACTGCCAGCAGATCTTGTTAAAGAATCCACTATTTGTGCGTAGCCATAACTATGACGCACGCCTGTGTAGTGGTTATTGATCATTGGGAATTCCAAGGAGCACTCGGTGCCAGTCAAATATTCCCCTGAAACAGTCTTCGTTTTCAGGTTTAATCTCCATTCAAACAGGCGAGAGAATAATTTCTCATTAATTCCTTGTTTCATGGCCTTGCCATCTTTTTTAAGCTCGGATCTTTCAGGGAGTATGTCCTGTTTGTTTAATCTTGGCCCTGGTATGACGGAGTCTGCCGAACGGAGGCCTTGAACAACAACCTAGGCCACCAGGAAAAGATGAAATTTGTAGTGTAGGTAGTTGTGAGCGACTTGAAGGAATGGAACACATATTTTTATCAATAAATGTCAGTATTTATTTACAAATATATGAAAAAAGCTAACAAGAGAATACTATGTACCTCATCACCTTCTTCGAAGCAGTTGATAAGATGGAACATGCAGAATGGTTCAACATCGAACCACATAACTGACTCTGCGTCACCATAGCGGGGCATAATCCCAATTCTTGCATAGCCTTCCTTCTCAAATTCGATTAGCCTATGCAACGGGTAATATGTGATTTTGATTTTACAAAATTATGTAGCTGCTTATTGTTGGATAAGTTTATATGAAGTACTTACTGACCGCCTGTAGTGAGTCTACCAATGTCAATAGTAAGTGGTATATCTATGATTATGTTGTACCTACATCAAGAGAAACAATATCTGTGAATTGCTATCATTGTTTACCATAATATTCTACTCTATTCTAGTATTACCAATCAAGTTAAAAATTCATAAATAGTATGCACTGTAATCAATAAATTGCTGGGAGCAAATGGTATTTCTTAAATCCACATACTTCAGAGTAACTCCTATGTCGTGACAGAGTGTAGATCTGTTCAGCTTGAGGTCAACTTTATGTTTTAGTTTGGTTCCATCATCTGCAGTCAAATAAACTCGAGTTGTGGTTATAACTTGATTTCAACCTTGGCACATGAACATGGTGTAAAATTCTAGAGAAGTGCAACATATTATAAATTACCTGAGACAACACCAACAACCAGGAAAGGCTTCTTTGCATCTGAGCCAAAGATGACAAGTTCTCCTGATCCAGGAGCTACCTACAGTCATTTGAATGAAGTGCCTTAAATCAAACAGATGACTGAACAAGGATAACAACATGTGCATGTATTTGGAAACATCTTGTAATCATACTTTTGTATGCAGTGTGGTGTTTTTTTTTGCAGTTATTCATTATTATCTGCAACATATATGATAGTGTAAAATAGAGTACCTCCTCTTTTTTAACTATATATTCATATATTTGCTTCTGAATTTCTGATAAACCCTGGACTTCTGTTATTTTTGCAGTTAAATAGCACATTTGGTACGGACTACTCATCTTGCAAAACGCAGGGTTATATAAGCAAGGCATGTAACATAGATGATAGATAAATCCGACGTGGTTGCTTTTCCTCCTTTTTCCAGATCAGATCTGGAGTAAACTTCCATCATATGTGCCGCATCTCAGTTCTTTTCACACCTGGGTTGTATTGTTCACTTATTTTTTGAGCCAACAGATTGAGGACACGGATGTAACTGAAACAAGGATGTTAATTCTGTTCTCTGGCAGATGTATCAATAAAATTAAATAATCTTGTTCTCTCGCAGATGTATCGATATGTTATTCTTTATTGGTTGATATTTAAGATCAAGTTACTATGTGACTGCAGTATTTGTACCTTCTATAGTTCTACCTCTGTAACTAAATATAAGAAGTTTTTGCAGTTGAAATTGAACTGCAAGAACGTCTTATATTTAGCTACAGAGGTAGTAGTAGTTCTGTTCTTGTGGTCTATACTTGCTTGATTACTGTTCTTGTTAGCCATGGGGTTTATGAAGGATAGAGCTGCTGGTCACCCATACCTTTGGGTGTGCTGTGAAGGGCCGATCCCACTCCCCACCAATGTCCCAGGTATTGCCTGTTTCAAGATTTTGTATGCAGATTTCCTGGGGCTGATGGCTCTCTGCGACAGCGTACACCCTACCCGCATGTTCAAACACATTGGTGTTGGTGATGTTCTTGTTCACCTTGCCAAACCTCAGCTGCATTGCATGTTTACTCACACTTCAGGTTAGGGTTTCTAGTAAACAACATATGTATACTTTGGATTTGCAAGTGTTAATTACATAGTTGAAAATGTAGGCGGCGATAATTGCTGCCGAGTCACCCTCGATAGCAGGGAGGAAGCATGGTTTCTGGCGGTCTTGCTCGATCTTCAATGTTTCGGATTGCACGTAGCGGTTGTCGTAGGAGACTGACCAAGAAGACGCTGAACCGGTCTTGGTAAAGTACAGGGCATGGAGCATGCCCTCGCCCTCAACCCATATCTCACTGGACTCCCCAAAGACGGAGACCGTCGAATGGAGGGCGCCAAAGAGAGGATTGGAACCTGTTATAATTTAGCTGACAGTTAGCTTCTTGTTTGCTATTCCTACTGCACTTACTTACACCACAGCAACCAGAAAAGATATAGATGATCACCATTTCTGATGTACACGCCCTCGGGGAAATCTTCGGGTATCTCTCCTTCAATCTGGAATATCTCTATGGATCCACCGATTTCATCGACCGGTGCAAAGTTGCTCTGCAAACATGCCACAGGCAATGTTAATTTTGCGAGAAAGGAAGCACGGCTGAGTTTCTGGGTTGTCATTGCCAAAAAATTTTACCCTGGAAATTGCAATAGAGTTTCCTGGACTGGAGTACCTCAGATGGGAGCAGAGCTTGATGAGTAAACTTGAAGGTTGAGTCAACTATTGCATCCAGAAGCCTCTGCGGCGCCTTCTTCAGCACCCGCGAGGCATCGTCGATCCTGGAAGAGAGCTGCCTTCGGAGCTCCTGGATAGAAGATTTCTGAAGCAAGAGGGCATCAGATAGAAACTTCACAAGAAACAAACTGTCAGAAACCGGGAAACGTCTAGGAGACGGAGGGAGGGTCGACCTTTGGGTTGGAGGTTAGAGACGAGGACGAAGTTGTTGCACTGAGAGAGAAAGCAGGCCTGTAGTAGGCACGGGAAGGCCTCAAGGCATGCGGAGGAGAGGTAGTAGTTTTCAGCATTCTGATAGTGACAAAGCCTGATCCTCCTGCAATCATGAGGATTGAGGAGGACGATTTACCTCCATTTATAGCAACTTGGATGGAGTTTCTCGCGGGATCAGACAACGGGCAGCAAACGCCGGGGGCATCTTGGAATATCCGACATGGCCACATCCGGGTTGGTGGTTGGGGTCGAGCGATTCGGACACGTGACAACACCAGTGATGACCGCCATTTTTGCGTATTAGAATCCCTGCACTGGCCTGGAGGCTTTCGATGGCGCCAATATCTGCCGGCCAAACCAAAATCTGGTTTCCGGAAGGAGCACCAACGTGGACGAGATGCCACGAGGGTCTCGTGGGGTTCCCGAAGGAGCAGTAGTAACGTGGACGAGATGCCACGAGGATCTCGTGCCGTGCGATCTCCTGTCTAGAGTCCAATCAATTCTTGATGGCTGATCAATGTAGATGGCACTAGAAAGAGTAGTCTAATCTTTGTAGACGCACGCAGCGGAGCCTTGACTCTTGAGCCCTGCCGTATAATAATCTGCTGCGCAGCGATGATGCTAAATTGCTAATGGTGATTGGTGGAGTGGATCAAGTTTGGCGCGCCCACCTTTCACGGTGACGTCGCTAGGTACGGACTTTGGAGCTCAAATGGCATCGGCTCGTTTGAGATCCTCTTCATGAAGCTGCATTGACGTTTTGTCTCCACCCTGCATCGGGGTTTACGGATCGTGGGCTTTCTGAGCTGCTGTAAATCGTTGGTCCTGCTTGTTTTATCGCCTCCTTTCTTTGTAGCGTGCCCTTTGCATTCTTCCAAGATTTTGCTTCACAACTAGGGCCTCCCTGTATTACAAAACTCAAGATATGGAGCTCACTACAGTTGGCGATGTTCCTTAGAGCAAAGGCACAAGCAGCATCCAAACTTAAAATTAACGACATCCAAGTAGATGTGACAAATGTCCGCTCTTCAGTTTTTCAGCACTGACTGAGTTACACCCGTACCATCGGTCGCACGTTCCGTGATCGTAAACATGCGCACGGCCTGTGCATCACGGTGACCTGTGGCTGAGGTGTTCCACCCCCATCGTCGTGCCGTACCGCGTCCCCTGCAAGTTAATAAGGCTCCAACGAAAGCGCAAAGTGAACAAAGTCTTACACCAAGGTACGACAAAGAAAAGAGCCCATGAAAAAGAAAGTTACAGGGTCGGGATGGCCAACTAAGAATACTAAGATAGCCGAGTGGAATGGTCTTTTTTAAAAGCAATTTTGGTGAAGTTGGGTTTCAAAGAAAACTGGGTGAATTTGATTATGCAATGTGTGTCCTCGGTGGAGTACAGGATTCGGGTTAATACAGAAGAGACCGATAGCTTCAAACCCACTAGAGGCCTAAGGCAGGAGGATCTCCTCTCACCCTACTTATTCCTGTTATGTACGGAGGGCCTGACTGCCCTTTTAGCAGATGTGGATGAGAGAGGAAATATCTCCGGCATAAAGGTTAGTAGGGAAGCTCCCTCAGTTTCCAATCTATTATTTGCGGATGATTCATTGATCCTCATGCGAGCAAATGCAATGAATGCGGAGGCACTTAGAGCGGTTCTGGACTCTTACTGTGCCGCCTCGTAGAGTCCTAGCAATCCCGATGGTGAGTGTCGAAAAATCCAGCATATTTTTTAGTCTATGGCCAATACGAGATAAACTCTATGGCCAATTGATGCCCGTAGAGTCCTAGCGATCCCGATCCCTATGCATAATATGTCGGATTTTATTGCTTGGAGCTATACAACAAACGGTTTATTCACTGTACGATCAGCTTATGTGGAGGAATGGAATAAGCAACATGGGAGGAAGTTGGAATGCTCGAATGGCATGGGTAGAAGTAAGGTCAATCCTATTTGGGGTAAGATCTGAAAATTAGCTTGTCCGGCGAAGGTTAATTTTTTTATTTGGCGGACGCTTCACGAAACTCTGCCGTGTCGTGTTACATTGGCCAACAGACATATAAAAACTCCACCAATATGCCAAGCATGTTTGGACGGGTCAGAGGACACGAAACATATATTATTTCTGTGTCAGAAGGCAAAAGAAGTGTGGGAACATTTGGGATTGTATGAAGTGGTAAAAAAAGCCTGCATCTTTGATCGTGCAGGAGAGGCAGTCCTTGAATCCCTACTCCTTATGCCTGATCGTGAACTACCCATCTTGGGCTCCCGGAATGCAGGGGAACTTATTGCTATAGCTGCTTGGTATTTATGGTGGAATAGACGGAAACTAGTCCATTAGGGTAAGTCTCAAGAGGCGTCCCAAACCGCGATGGGGATTAGGGCTATAACATCGAACTATGTAAATGCCCACTCTCCTAAAGCAAAGAGAAAGAATGAAGGATGGTGCAGACCTCCTAGGGGTTTCGTTAAATTGAACGTGGATGCTTCTTTTGATCATGATCAGCTAAGAGGCACAGCGGGTGCTGTTATCAGAGATGACAAAGGAAACTTCATAGTAGGTGGTAACTAGAGGATTCAGTACTGTGCGGATGCCCTGATAGCAGAGGCGGTAGCACTCAGATTTGGTTTACCGTTGGCACAAAAGACGGGCTGCAATCGTCTAATCATCAATTCTGATAATACGGAGGCCATCGACACAATGAAGAACCGAGGATAGTCTGCGGGAGCGGCTGCTGCGATTTTTGAGGATTGCTTTTTTATGGCCTGTGATTTTCCTCAAACTAGTTTTGAACATTGTAACAGGGAAGCGAATAAAGTAGCTCATGAGCTTGCTCGATTAGCAAAAGGTTCCATGACTAGGGATTGGATAGAGGAGCCCATGGAAGATCTTGTAACTCTCTTGATAGACGATGTAACAATTATTTCTAATTAATAAAGTTTCAAATTGTTTTAAAAAAAAAGAATACTAAGATAGCCCACACACAAATATCGCTCAAGAGGACCAACAGAAAAGCAGCTAGTGCGTTTTTACCGAAAAAGGCTTTCGCCCCGCTTTATATATAAAGCACCAAACAACAAGCACCCAGTACAGACACACGCCACGCCACCGCAACACACGCACACACCCAGGGCAGGATACAAAGGCGCTGAGCGCATCAACACCATCCCTAGCACTACCACACAGAGATGAAGCTACATATGACGAACCATGCACTCCAAGGCGACACCTTCAAGAAGGGAACCATGCACTCCAAGGCTCGGTCCTACAACATTGAGAGGGGGACGAGGTCAGTCCTGCTGCACCGTGCACGAGATGAGCTCGGTCCTGCTGCATCGGGCGCGGGACAAGCTCGGTCCTGCAGCACCGGGGCGCGAGACGAGCGGTGGACCACAGCTGGGAGAGGGCCGTGGTAGAAACTAGGGTTCTACCGGGTCTAGGCCGGAGGTTGTAGGGGAAGGAGGGAGCTGGTCATGGGCGAACTCGTGGCCGTCGGCGGCTGGGCGCCGTCGTGCGCGAGGAGGCCGCAGCTGAGAGGGAGATGGCGCAGGGAAGGAGGCGGCTAGGGTTAGGTCTCCCGACTCCCTAAGGAAGCCGAGCAATTATGATTGCTTCTTTTCTTGATTAGATTGATACATCTTTTCTCCTTATATAGAGAGGTTTACTTGACTCCCAAGCCCCTAATAACGATAATTGGGCTAAGCCCCTAATAACGATAAGATAGACTGGGCCACAACTAACTGAGCTAAGCCCCTAACATGCCAGTCATAACATTTCTCCCCGCCTTCACAAACAGCTCATCCTCGAGCTGGAAGGTGGGAAAGCGCTTGCGGAACTCCTCGAGGTGATCAAACATCGCCAAACACCTCCGCGGCAGCTGGGGCGGGCAGGTCGCCGAGCCCGGCGGCGGCGGCGGCCTCCTCAGTGTAGTCCGCAGCCTCCAGGTAGAAGAGTCACGGGCAGACGTGGCCAGGCACATAGGGCTCGTCGCAGTTGAAGCACAACCCTTGGCGGCGACGCTCGAGTTGCGTGGACGGGGTGAGCCGAAAGAACGGGCGCGCCGCAGTCGCGGCGAGGGGTGCCGCAGAAGCCTGACCAGGTCGACCCTGCGTGGGAACGTCCGGCCAGGGTGGCGGCCCAACGGCCGGGGACGGTGATGCCTGCTGGATGGCCACCGCGCGGCGCTCGAACGCGCGGGCGTAGTATATGGCCGTCTGGAGGTCCTGGGGGTCCCTGCAACTCCATGTCTACGCGGATATGATCTGGCAGACCGCCGACGAAGAGCTCAGCCCGCTGGCGAGCCGTCACGCCGGGCGCGTGGCATGCCAGGGCCTGAAAGCGGTCGGTGAAGTCCTGCACCGTAGAAGGTGAAGGGAAGACGCCAGCCGGCTCCTGCGTATCGGCGGCCCGAAGTGAAGCAGGCAGAGCTCGCGAAAACGCTCCCATGGAGGCATGCCGCCCTCGTCCTGCTCGAGAGCGTAATACCAAGTCTGTGCGACGCCTCAGAGGTGATATGAAGCGAGCCAGGTGCGGTCCGACGCGAGCATACGTTGCCCCCGGAAGAACTGGTTACACTGATTAAGCCAGTTGAGGGGGTCCTCGGCACCGTCGTAGGTGGCGAAGGTGAGCGCGGCGAAGCGTGGCGCCGTCTGGGTATGATCGCCGTGGGGGTATGGCGCCGTCTCGGTAGGACTGCCGTGGAGGTATGGCTCAGCGGTGCGGAGCAACGGCGCTCGGTCGGTGATCACAAGGGGGCCCTTGTGGAACTGCGTCGCGTCGAGGCCAAAGTAGGGACCTGCGGAACTGGAGGATCCGCCATACTGCGCCTACTGTGACGGCACGTGCGGTGGTCCCGAGGCCATCGTGTAGACCGGCTAAGACGACGACTCGGTCAACCAAGCCGGTAGCGGGGACGACGAGGACGAGAACAGGACTTGGTGGAGCGGAACTCCCGCCGGCGCGGTCGATGTGGGACCGGAGCTGACCAGCGGTGGCTGCTGCAGCTGCAGCGGCTGCTGCGGTATTGCGCCGGGCAGCGGCTGCGGTGGAGTGTCGGGCGCGGCGGAGACCGCCAGGAGCGGCTGCCACTACAGCCAGGGCTGGGCTGTGGTGGCGATGGATGGCAGCTGCAGCGGCTGCTGCAGTGGTCCGGCGAGCGCGGCGAAGGCGCCTGGTGCGGCGGCTGCCACAGCGGCGCGAGGGCGGCGATGGACGCTGGAGGCGCGTCTG